GTTTGGATCGTTTGGTTTGATTTCCGGGCTACCACATGATCATCCGGAGCACAACCTGGTACACATTTTCGATTTGCCATTATATCCCTATTTTTTATATACATGTAAATATTAATTAAATGATTACAATGTGGCTTATTATCCACAAACTTATTTATGCATTTTATTGAGATGGCAAAAAGTATCGAATTTACGTAGCAGTTTATGCAACAATTATGTGCCACATAATTACCCTATTAATCTATAATCAAGATATAAGTATAACTATACTAACAACGTTTTTATATAAATTCCCAAAAATCTTTACATTCAATACCATAAATTTTTCAATAAAAATTAAAAAAAAAATAAAAAATAAAAACTACATGAGCATGCCTTGCTATGCTGATGCACTAGTAAAAATTAAACTTGTTCGCCAAAATGAAACTAATAACCAAATGATGTCAGTATGGGCTATCGGATCTTATATTGGACAAGATGACAATGAAATCGAAATGACTATTTACATACCTATCAACCCTGAAGATCATGATCCAGATACCCAAGCAATCTTTAAAAGAGATGAATATTATTTAATTGGAGGAAAAATCATCTCTACACATTATGCTGGAATTACAAGACCAAAGGTACTATCCTACTTTATAATTAAACCATTTAAAATTTATAAAATTATGTCATTAAAAATTTTACTATATTTTCAGATGACAGTATCAGCTTCAAAATATTTAATTTTTCTTAATAAAGACTCTATGTCAAACAAAAGTCCTCTTAAGGTTTCTCTAGTAGGAATCCCACAAAAAATGCCAACTGAATTTAATGACACTGATGCTATACTTGAAACAGTAATGACTGACTATATAAATGGTCAAGAACGTGAATATACAATTAATATTGTTTTTCCATATAACAATCCAAGATTCAGTCACCTCAAAACTACTATACGACCATATGAATCAGAAATCTTTATTATTGGACTTATGGAAATCATAGACCATAATCTTTATGTCTATACGAAAGAAATCAGTTACATTAATATAAAAAAAAAATACTGAAATCAATGATACTCAAAACCTATCAACTCTACCAAACCAAACACGAAACAAACTTCTACATATTCACTAAAACATATTTAAAAATTTAGAAGAACCACCCAAAATCAAAACCTCTGAATCAATTACCCCAAATGACTATAATAATTTACACTTAAACAAACGTGCAAAAACTGAAGATATTAATAACCTTACTAATCTTGATGAAACTGACCAAGAAACTGAAATATTACTAACAATAAACAAAACAAAAAATGTTAAAAATAAAAATAAAAAAAGTTCTACCAGAATTACACGTAGTACTACACGATCATCCAACCAAGTAGTAGATATCACTAACTCTGATAGTGAATAAATATAATCAAATTCTTCATATTAGTTTTATATTTACAAAAATTTTAATGTTATTAAAATTTTTTGATCTTATCTTTACATCATACTTATAATAAAAAATACAATTTATTTATTAAAATTCTTTATTATTCAAATAACTCTAATATTTATTCAATATTTTACTATAATCATTTTATAAAATAATAAACTATATTATTATATATTTCTATATACATCAACTACTATATTTTATATTTCTTCTAATTATTTATAACCCAACCAATATAATCAAATTACAACAAATTATTATTACAAATAAAATATAACAATTAACACATTTTTTGCATATAATAACTTTATATTATTCTTAATATTTGCAACAATAATAAACTTAAAAAATAATACAAATATATTAATAACTATCTATTTCAAATATAACTTAAATAACTATTATACATTATTTAAAACTTATTTAAATATTTTCTTTTATTATAGACTTAACTTTTTTATTATAACAACTTTGTAAATACAATAAAGTTTATACTTAAATGCGTTGCGTAAGCAACGCGAGACACGCTAGTATAAATTAAATACCATTTCTTTGAATTCACCTATTTGAACTTACGATAGATCAACCGAATTTAAGTTCCTCGCATTATATGTTTGTACTTGAATATGCTGATAGTGGTCTTTAAGGTCGTATTTGCAAAATCATTTTATCGCTGTTTGCATATTGATGCAACCCATGATAAAATTTGTAGATCGCTGCATGCCAATTGTTCGATTGCAATC